AATTATAAATGTAATTTCTAGGTGACAGGATTGGACAGTGATCAGAGCAGATGGCGAAGCTCTCCAGATACAGTTAGTAGACATATTGACACAAACTGCAGCATATATAATGGAACTCCATACCTGACTAGACTAAAAATAAATTGGACCTTGCCCAACTCGAGCCCTGGGTCAGGTCTTAGTTTCAAGCGTGTTGACACCTCCACTCTCAACCCAACCGTCTACACCTCCACCCTAGGACCCTATTATTTTACCCACTTGATACACATCAATTGATGCACCTAACACATACAGACAGCAAATATGATAAACTGGCTGCTTTTTAGAGAGTTGAAGCAATTTGATGCTTGGAAATGGGACATTGAGGTGGCATGACAAGTTTGGGTATGTTGGCTTTTAGAACGTCTCACTTACTGGATTGGAAAAGACGTTGCCAGTGGAGTCAATTCCAGCAGCAATTACATATCCTCCTAAGCATATTTGCCTAAGCACATTAGTATAGAGTTGTGTTTTATAGGAGACAAGGTTGCATGAGGTTCAGAAAGCAGTCTTGACATTCAGTATTGAAGCAGTGCTAACTGAGGGACTGTGAGATCTCGTCAGTAAACAGCTTTGGTGAAGAGAGAGTTCCCAGGACCTGAAAGTAACAAAGTTGAGCAGGAGGGAGATTTCTCATATCCCTTTTCCAAGAAGTCGGCCAACTGCACAGAGAGCTCAGAGTCTGTCACACCGGGGTCCTTCCTGCTTCCAAATTCTGCTCTCTAGTCACTTTCCTGAAAACTGAGAAACATTTGGAGCGCACACGGAGCCAGCCAGAAACTGAATTTGCAGATAGCCTGCGCTGGCTCCGGCCTGATAATCCTGTCATGTCGCATTTGGGCTCAGTTATATCGACCAAGCTTGGGCTTTGTCCCAGTCCCTCAGCAAGAACCGGAAGCAGTGATCAGACAGCATGAGTACTCAACAGATGTAAAAAGGATTGTGACTCCTTTCAAATGTCTTGTTAGCCAGAAATTATGCCCTGATTTGCTCCTCCTTCTCCAGAGTACTGCAGATAGTCCAGTGCTACATCTTAATTCAAGCCATGCTCTTGGACTGCATTGTTTGAAAATGAAATGGACAGCCCCCAAAGGTCTTTTGTATGATAGGAAATTGATTGCCATTGGTATTGTGTGGCTGGTATTCAACAGTAGAATACAGAATTGGAAGAAAAAAAGAAGAAAAGGTAAGGAAGAGTGATGTGAATGGCCCTTGTTAGAACAAACTGAGTTGGAGGTAATTACAATAGGCCTCTCTCTCCACAGAATGGATTAGATAAAGATTGATACTGTAATAGTGCTTTCATTTCAATTTCCTTCCAACGGTCTTTGTGTATGGAGGTGTGTGTGTGTGTGTGCCAGTTCTGGTCTTGTTTGTTTGAAAGTGATTTTGTGTATGAATTGTCTGATGTGGAGAATGAGCGTGCGCATATGGAAGCGTGTGAATCAGTTAATGGTCTCACGGTGAAGCTCGGTGAAAAGGAAGCATCAGAGAATCCATCATAACGATGAAATGAGGTGAGGAGAGAGATGGAAGCAGCACATTTGGCTGAGTCTCTGAGAAATGAATAGCACTGTATTTAATTTTGGGACGGTGCTCTATCAAAGTCTGAGTCATTGACAGAATGTTGGACAGAGGTCGACTCTTCTCTGCGTTCACACGGGATGGAAGTGGGGGAGGATGGAACTTACTGAGTGTGGGTCATTTACTGGCCCATATGTGCACCATTATGCAAGGATTTCATCTTTGGAATACTGTCGATCACTTTGCTCTACGTTTCGTTTTTGACACAGAATGTACATTTTAAGCCTGTTGAATTAGCCGTTTGTATGCTCAAAGCTAGTTATAGCGTTTACTATTTTAAAATTTACTGTATCCGTTACTGTATGTCACTGACTGGGCCAATTGGTAAAACTAGTTTCTTAAAATATAGGCTGCTGAGATCACAATGTTGTTCAATAGTGATTTTACGTACGTCTCACACGGGCAGTGTGACTGCTCTAATCTGCCACGCAGACACGGGCGGTGTGAACGAGATGTAAGTGTATGAGAAGTTCATCAGAGGCATTTAAAGTCAGTTTAAGTCTGCAATTGTTTATAAAAGATGACAAGAATAAACAACACAGATATGATTAATTTAGGGTTAATAAGTTATAAAGAGGCATTATTGAGATTTTGCATCTCTTCACAACAGTGCGTAATATCTGAGACTTTTAGGCAATTTCATTTTCATGAACAAAATTAATCATGAACAATATACAATAGAAACCTAATACTTAAAATCCACAGATGGCCCGATCATGGAACGTGGATCTCCTGGCTGTGATAATTAAGTTTACAGGCGTAAATGGCAACCTAAGCTAACACATTTACTGCTAGTAGTCTGGGTGAAAACTGTACAAGCAGACCACTACACACTGTAAATGCAGTTGCCGATAGCACTCCCTCACATTGTTTGCGCTGCCATATGGACCAGTGAAACCTGAATCTCATGAACCCATCTGCAGCCCCCAGCAGCCTAATGCCAGTCCGTGATTAATGCCCTGCCACAGACTAAGATAGGCTTGTAAGTGCTGTGCCTAGGATGGCAATAAAACAGCACAACTGTATTTGGGAGTGGGAGAAACAAGTTTTCCCATAGCTTTTAATGTGCTTGAGGGGGGCTAGGTTGAAGCAGGCCTGCTATCAAAAGCTAAATTAGCACTTAAAGCATTTAAAGGATGGGCAACACAGACCCCCGGATGGGCCCCCTGGAGCCCGCTGGAGGCTGGATACATGATTTGTGCTGAGAGCCAGCTCTGGGCATGCAGAGCGTGCTGGAGAGTGGACAGTTACCAAGCTCCTCTCCTGT